TGGGATTACAGGCATGAGCCATTGCACCCAGACCCTACCCTTTCTTTAATAGAGAAAGAAGCTTGTGTCTTCCTGAGCTTTGTTAGAAAAAAATGCAAAAAGAAGAATTTAACAATGCATTTTTCTAAATCTTTCAGCTTACCCAGATTAAAACAAGTCAAAACTTCAAGTTAACAGAGCTATTTTCGGTAAAACACATGACCTGGTATTTTTTTTTTCTTTTTTCTTTTGAGGCCGGGTGTGGTAGCTCAAGCCTGTAATCCCAGCACTTTGGAAGGCCAAGGCGAGAGGATTGCCTGAGTTCAGGGGTTCGAGACCAGCCTGGGCAGCTAAGTGAGCCCTCCTCTCTACAATAAATTTTAAAATGTTTAAAGATGTGGGGACAGCCGGGCTCGGTGTCTCAGCCTGTAATCTCAGTGCTTTGGGAGGCTGAGGTGGTGGATTGCCTGAGCCCGCAGGTTCGAGACCCTCCTGGGCAACTTGGTGTGGCCTCATCTCTATAATAAATCAAAAAATTAACCGGGCGTGGTGGCACGCGCCTGTGGTTCCAACTACTCGGAAGGCTGAGGCGGAAGGATCGCCGGAGCCCGGCAGGTGGAGGCTGCGGTGGCCGGGAGCGGCCGCTGCACTCCAGTCTGGGCGACAGGGTGAAACTACAACTCAAAAAAAAAAAAGAGTGGGGTAGGAGTCAGGGTTAGGTCTACAGACGTTCATTGTGCAGGTGCCCTTGTTGATGCGGTGTGTCCCGCCTCCCCTGGCAACTGCCCACTACTGCCAATCCTGCCCTCCCTCCCCTGACAGTTGCCTACTGCCGCCGATCCCTTTCTTACAGTATTATAATAATTGTTCCGCGCCGGGCTCGGTGGCTCAGCCTCTCATCCCGCACCTTTGGGAGGCTGAGGTGAGTGGATTGCCTGAGCCTGCGGGTTCGAGACCCACCTGGGCAGCAAGACCGCATCTCTACAATAAATCAAAAAATCAGCCGGGCATGGTAGCGCATGCCTGTAATTCCGGCTACTTGGAAGGCTGAGGCGGAAGGATCTCCGGAGCCCATCAGGTCGAGGCTGCGGTGGCCGGGAGCAGCCACTGCACTCCAGTCTGGGCGACAGAGTGAGACTCCAACTCAAAAAAATAATAATAATAATAATAATTGTTCCGCAATAGATTACTCAGTATTATAGACTCTAAGTCCATCCAAGTTGCTGTGAAGTTCATAAATTTGTCCTTAATTTTGCCCTTCTTTATGGCTACATAATATTCCATTGTGTATCTGTACCACATTTTTTTTTTAATCCAGTCTTCCTTCGATGGGCAAACACAGTCGGTTCCATGTTTTTGCTATTGTGAATCATGCTGCAATAAACTTGTGTGTGCAGGTGTCTTTTTCATAGAGTGATTTGAGTTCCTCCAAGAATATTTCCAGTAGGGGGGATTGTGAGGTCATATGGAATGACCTGGTATTTTCTTTTCTGTTAAATAGAGCTCATATTTTATTAGTCACCCCAAAAAGGCACAATGATGTAACTAAGCCTGCAGCAAAACCACAAATCTTGCATATTTGGTGCTAGTAGGAGTCACAACTTTTTGATAGTATGTATATTTCTCTATATAACTTATGCGACACATTCCTTCAACAGGAAGGAGTCTTGTTGAAAAAGAACCTTTATTTAAGATTGTAAGCAGTAAATTAAAAAAAATTATAGAGATATAATTTCCATACCACACAGTTCATCTATTTACAGTGTACAATGTGATGGTTTCTGTGTGTTCAAAGAGATGGGCAGCCATCGCCACAGTCAGTTTTCGAACATGTCCATCACCACAGGGGGGAATTTCAGACTCTGGCAATCACGTCCTTGCCCACCCATCCTCCAGCCCTAGGAAACCGTTAACCTACTTGCTGTCTCTGCAGATGTGCTTATAGCGGGCATTTCATGTCAACGAAATCCCATGACATGTGGTCTTATGTGACTGGCTTCTTCCACTGAGCACAGTGCTCTCAGCGTTCATCCATGTTGCACCCCAGACCACTCTTTTTTCTAGCCAAGCAATATTTAATTCTATGGCTATATTACCTTTTGTTCATCCAACAATGCATCGACATCTAAGCATGTGTGTGATGGCCATCTTTTGGTTATTGTGAAGAATGCTGCTATGACTGTTTGTGTAGAAGTTTTTGTTTAAACACCTATTTTCTTTCTCTCCTTCTCCTTTTTTTTTTTTTAGCGACAGAGCGTTACCCTGTTGCCAGGCTAAAGTGCAATAGTCCAACTCCTGAGCTCAAGTGACCTTCCTACCTCAGTTTCCTGATTAGTGTATGTCACTGGGCTCGGCTAATTTTTTTTTTTTTTTTTTTTTTTTTTGAGTTGGAGTCTCCCTCGTCGCCCAGACTGGAGGGCAGTGGCTGCTCCCGGGCACCGCCGCCTCCACCTGCTGGGCTCCGGCGATCCTTCTGCCTCAGCTTTCCAAGCAGCTGGAACTACAGGCGTGAGCTACCATGCCCGGCTAGTTTTTGGTTTATTGTAGAGATGAGGTCTGGACAAGTTGCCCGGGCGGGTCTCGAACCCGCGGGCTCAGGCAATCCACTCACCTCGGCCTCCCAAAGCGTGGGATTACAGGCTGAGTCACTGAGCCCGGCTTTTTTTTTTTTTAAATAGAGACAAAGTCTCATATTGCCCAGGCTGGTCTCAAGCTCCTGGACTCAAGGAATCCTTCCACCTTAGCCTCCCAAAGCACTGGGATTATAGGCATGAGCCACCTGAAGTCAGCTGAACACCGATTTTCAATTTCTTTTATTATATGACTAGAAGTAGAATTGCTGGGTCATTAGGTAACTCTATGTTTAATTTTTTTTAGGAACTGCCAAACTATTTTCTACTGAGGCTGCCACATTTACATTCCCACCAGCAATTTCTAAAGGTCCCAATTTCTTCACATCCTTACAAACAAAACGCTTTGTTAATTTCTGGGTTTGATTTTTTTTTAAATAATATTATTATAGCCTAATAATACTATTATATCCTAGTATCTCACTGTGGTTTTGATTTGAATTTTCTAATGACTAATGATGTTGAACATCTTTTTATTTGCTTGTTGACAATTTGTATATCTTCTTTGGAAGAATGTACATTTAAGTCTTTGTTCATTTTTTAATTAGGCCATTTTGAGTTGTTGAATTGTAAAACTTTTTTATAGATTCTGAAAACTAGTATCAGATATGTGATTTGTAAATATTTTCTCCTACTCTGTAAACTATCTTTTTACTTTTTTTTTTTTGAGGGTGTTCCTTGATGGGTTACTGTTTTGAACTTTGATGAGGTCTAATTAATTTTTTTCTTTTGTTGCGTGTGCTTTTGGTGTCATAGTTAAATCATTGCCCAATAAAAGCTCCCAAAGATGTATGCCTATATTTTCTTTTAAAAGTTTTACAGTTTGAGTTCTTTTTTTTTTTTTTTGAGCTGGAGTCTCACTCTGTTGCCCAGGCTGGAGTGCAGGGGCACACTCACAGCCACACCGCGCAGCCTCGACTGCTGGGCTCAGGTGATCCTTCCGCCTCAGCCTTCCAAGTAGCTGGAACCACAGGCACAAGCCCTCATGCCCGGCTAATTTTTTTATTAGTTGTAGAGACGAGGTCTCTCCAAGTTGCCCAGGCTGGTCTCAAACCCGCAGGCTTAGGGCATCTCTTGCCTCAGCCTCTCCAAGTGCTGCGGTTACAGGCATGAGCCACTGTGCCAGGCTCTTTCTGAACTCTCCACTATATCCCACTCGTCTGTCTGTCCCTATGCCAGTGCCTCACGATCTCGATTACCATTGCTTTGTGGTAAGTTCTGAAATGGGGAAGTACACACACTCCTATTTTTCTAAGGGTTCTTGCTCGAAACCGTTTGGCTAATCTGGGTCCTTTGCAATTCCGTGTGGATGTTGGAATCAGCTTATCAGTTTTCCAAAAATGTCAGCTGGCACAGAGCATGACTCTTGCTTATATAGATTTGGAAAAGGAACTAACATTCTGAGAGAGCAACCTGCTGTCGTGGGAAAAAATATCCCAGACATCCGAAGGGCAGCAAACACTAAGACCCCAAGCTGCATGACTGCGTCTTTGAGCGTTGCATCCTGGAATCCAGAATGAAGATGGCCCTGTTGTGATGCTGAACCTCAGAGGACACTGGGGGTCATTGCATTCTTACATTTCCATGTGTATAATTGTTTAAAGGCAGCACGGTGCTCACCGTCTTCTCCCATATTTTATCACAATTGTCCTGGGATTTATGAGGCAGGAGTCAGTCACTTGTAGTTTTTAGTAGGGTGATTTAGACACGGAGGAGACAAGAAGTGACTTGCTCAAAGAGGTAAGCTAGTAAGTCGGGCAGCCCACCCTCAGGGTTTACCTGGAAATGAGGGGCTTTCCAGATCGAAGACTTTAAGTCCCCAAATGGGGAGAGTCCTTGGAAAACCGGGCTGGGCTGGTGACTCTTCCCGCAAGGAGCAGAGGCAGGAAGAGGAGTCAGGCTGCGTGATTCTGAGTTTAACGCTTTCCTGCCAGGGAACCCCATCTAGCAGGCTTGACTGCGCTGCTCTGGACATTCCCTCCTCACGAGTCTTTTCTTAACCCATCGTGTCTGAGGCTTCAGCCACCCTAATCCCGTCAGCAAACCCCAGCTTTTGTTGACCCAGCCCTGAGCCGCAATGGAATCCGTGTCTCCTGCTTTCTGAGGGTTCCAGGGGCGCTCTGCTACGTCCATCTTTCCTCTCTCCTTCAAACTGTAGGTCAAGGAAGACAGGAGCAGTCGCTTACCTCTCCTTGCCCAGACAGGATTGGCTATTCTGTTAATGCTGTTGCCTGTCCAGGAAGTAGGTGACACTGAAAGCATCTTTCAGGGGCAGGTACGTGGCCCGGGGCCATCACATGTTATTTAAAGTAAGCAAGAACCACGTGGTGCAGGGAACACGACTTGCATATTTATTGTGTTTCTACGTGGGTCATTACAAGGAGGGAGAGCTTAGTACAAATCGACGGCCCGTCTCAGGGAGCCCACCCGGGCGTCCACACCCCCCCAGTCGTGGTGGCGCCTGTAGTCCCCCGGCCTCAGCAGGTACTGCCGGCCCCGGTAGTTGGGCAGCTCGTAGAGAATCCAGCAGCCCTCCAGCACATGCAGGGAGTGGATTTCATGGATTCGGAAGCGGTCCTGGATGCAGGAGCAGTCCTCGGTGAGCTCGGACACCAGGCCGTGGTAGTCATCCCTCTCGTACAGCCGTATCCGGTGGGAGCTGGTCTGTCGGGACAGGAGACAAAAGATGACAGACCATGCGTCCTGGTGTCCACAGAGGTGGCGCGGTCAGCCTGCACCTCCGCGAAACATGACTTTCAAACTGTCCTGTAAAACGTTTCTTCCTCAATCCCACTTTTTACGTTGTTGTTCTAACAGATTAGGAAAAGTACTAAAAGAGAGCTGACCTAGTCGGAGAATTGAGATTTTGTGGAAGAAACAAATATTGAAATACAGGGAATAAAAGTGTGTCCTTTTAAAAAAAAACAACCGTCTGTCGTCACCGCAGTGAGTATGTCTGTAGAGGGGATTTCACCTCCCATTTCCATTAGGACCCCACACAGCTGAGTCCTAGCAAGCTTGTTTTTAAGTGACTTTCTGTACTTTTAACTTTCAATGATGTATGTTGACACTGAGTTCACACGTCTTTTCATGACATTCTGCCAAGTCATTTATATCATTTGAGTTTCTTGTCCCAAAGAAAAGCCTATTTTATTTCTCTCTTTTTGTGCATCTGTAACTTTTTCTAGCCTGAGTTTTGTTTCTCTCTCTCTCTTTCTCTTTTAGAGACAGGGTCTTGCTCTGTTGCCCAGGCTAGAGTGCAGTGGCATGATCACAGCTCACTGCAGCCTTGACCTCCTAGGCTCAAGTGATCTTCCTGCTTCAGCCTCCCATGGGTCTACATGTGTGTGCCACCACATCTCACTAACTTTTTATTTTATTTTCAAATGTTTATAGACATGGGTTCTCACTGTATTGCCCAGGCTGGTCTTGAACTCCTGGCCTCAAACAATCCTCCCACCTTGGCCTCCCAAAGAGCTGGGATTACAGGTGCGAATCACTACATCTAGCCCTAAATTTTATTTTAATTCTTAAGTTTCTGTTCCACACCACAAAATTTGGTACCATCAGAAAGCATAAATACCTGTTGCACATGATGAAAAAACATTAAGCAGTACTTTGGTGAGGACCATGCTCTATGAAATCCCAGTTGGTTACCTGTCTCTGGTCCTTGTAAGAAACTAGTTGAGAAGGATTCTTGGAAAATACAAAGTCATACAAACTGGAACATACTGCTCTAGGTTCCAAATCAGTATGTCATAGAGTGTAATGAAAAAATTACCAATGCGGTCAGAATACATTCTACTTATGCTGTTCTCCCATAGTCTGTTAATCATTATTATTAAAAAATAATTATCTAGATTGTTTTTTAATGTAACAAGACGCATTTTACTTAGAAATGAGGAATCACCCAGATGCCAGTGAGTTTGACTCAAAGACTCTGTTGTTGTGATTTCCTGTGCCCTAAAATGATACTGACGTCCTTAAGGAAGAAGAACAGAGAATGCTGTCCGCTGCTTCTTCATGTCTGGGGGCCAGGCCTTGCGATCCTTGCTGAGAACACCAGCCCCACGTGGGGACAAACTGACTTTCATAAACAGGAACCCGTGGCCCCTGGCACCTTCACACTAGCCAGGTGGGAGTGAGACTCACGTAAGGAATCGAGCGGCAGGAGCGGACGGTGTCGCCGAGGCCCATCCACGGCTGGTGGTCGGGGTACTCGCCGCGCCGCAGGAAGCACTGGGGGCCCTGGTAGTTGGGGCGCTCGTAGAGCATCCAGCAGCCGCTGTCCACGCGGATGGAGTTGCAGCGGCCCAGGTAGGGCTGCAGGTTGGGGCAGTCGCTGAGGCACTCGTGGTGGCGGCCCTGGAAGCCCCGGTCCTCGTAGAAGGTGATCTGCAGGGGAAACAAGGCAGGGCAGACAGTCAGCCGAAGGCGCGTCCCGCGCTCCCCGACACTCACGGCCGCGGCCGGCACGCCGACGGGCTCACCTTCCCCATGGCTGCAGACAGCAACGAACAGCTCTCGTGTGACGGGGCCCAAGTGGCAGCTGGTATATATATAGCAGGACGGCTGCTGTGTTGGCAGGAACAGCACAAAGGGGACCTGGGGTAGTGCAAAAGGGGATTTCTGTGTCTCTGCTTTTCATTTGGGATCAGGGGGCAGGGGGCTCTCTCCCTCTCTGGCATTTTCGAGTTGTCCTCACCAGCTCCAGTGAAAGGCATTAAGGTCAGCAGAGCCATTATGGCCCTGGAGACAAAGGGCGCACTCCCCATCCTATGCGGCTCGCTGGAAACACACGACATGCCCAGCATTCTGCAGTGTCTGCCTATGGAAGCTGCTGAGATGAAGGGTGGGGCTCCATCCGAGGCAACCCGCGGAAGGACCCCGGAGGGAAGGGCATTGCGTTTCCTGGACCACCTCATCAGTATGGTGTGGCTTGGATTAAAAATATTTTGCATACGTCTATGTAGAGAAAACACGGTCACGGTTATCAACTGATGGCAAGACTAGAGGTCACAGAGGTATGTCTTTATTTTTCCTTTCGGCTGCTTTCCACGGTCTTGGTTTTTCTCTTAAAAGTAGATATTACAATTCCGTGAGATAAAAAAATAATAAAATCAGTTTTAAGAGGATGGCTTCGGGCCGAGGTGGGAGGATCGCCCGAGCCCAGCAGGTCGAGGCTGCGGTGGCCGTGAACGTGCCCCTGCACTCCCGCCTGGGTGACAGAGCAAGACTCCAATTCAAAAAAAAAAAAAGAGTATGACTTTACATTGCTGGTGAAAAGCAGTACATTTTGAAAACTGGTATAGTTTGTCTTGAGATCAAACACTTCTTGAGCTAAAAATAAAGAGGTATCCTTGGAGTCTGTGAGATGCTCAAACAGCAGAAAAATACACAGGAGTCTTCCACTTTCCTCCCCTGCCACACTTCCGGCATTGTTTCTGTTTTTAAAATTCCTGTCATGCTTTGCCTCTGTTTTCTCATGGCGTCACCGTTTCATGGAGCCCAGGTGAATGGTTGGAGAGCTTTCTCAATCGCTGTCAATCTATTGATTTAGAAGCACTTAAATACGCAGGGGTAGAGGATGACTCCAACCCGCTGGCCTCTTGTCGTCCCACATGTATGTCAGACCCTTTGTGCTTCAGACCCATGGAGGAACCCTCCAAGGACATCCGCCCAGAGTCAGCCATACAGTCACAACGCCTCCTGGGAAAATCCTCAGGCAGCAGGTAGGGCACACGCGCAGATGGTCAAAGGGGCGACAGCAATAGCCACACGCAGAAATGTTCCCTTATAACCAGCAGAGCTAGACGAAAGAAAACTGAGCAGAGTCCTGCGAAGCCAGACACCGGGCTGTGTATGCAGGGACCCAAGGCCGCTGATCGCCCCTTCTGCCTCCCGAATGCCACAGGCTACTGGTAGCCCGTAGGCACCACCATAATCAAACCCAGGGTGGCAAGGGCGCACGGGTCTTCCCAGCCACAACCCCACATGGGAATACACCGCCACTTGCAGCAGACATCGACAAACCCCACCTGAGTTCTTGCACATACTGCTTAAAACTGTTCTGCAGACAGGTGGCCCACCAAGACCTTATGAAAGGTGTCATTTGTGCTGACATTCATGGGATCAAAATGTTGTTACGTACATCGACAGGCCAAGCCATGCGCCGAATCAGCGTTTTGGAAAGGTGCCGAAAGACCAGAACGCTTTCTTTTTCTAGGAGTCGTTAAAGTCTACTGAGAGAAAGTCACACCCGTCTTATTCTGAATGCTTTATTGGGACGATTTTAAATTTCTCTCATCCGAGAATATAGTAAAGACAATCCATGGCAGATGAACGTTATTCCAGAGCAAATCCTTGGGGAACTACCTCCTACCCTGCAATATGCAACACTGTAAGGTGTACTGCAAAGCCAGTCTCCTGTGACACAGAAATACCGTTCACGCCCTGCATCCTCCAACCACCTTTCTGCCACAATGAGGTAACATAAGAGTGTACTTTTTAAAACCAAAATATAGTCATGCAATATGCTTCTGAGAGAAGAAAGCTCAGCATCAGAAATAACACTCCAGTGCAGTTTGCAGCAAAAACTAGCTACAAAGAAAATGTGCTGGCCAGAGCAGCAGTTTTAGGGTGAGGCTTCGTGTCTGCTCCGGGAGACTGTTATAAAATTCCATGGTGCAATTCCAAGTTTCTCAGTGATCTGCAGAAAAAAAGATGGTTTTAGTATCAAGCATATCAATGCCACAAGGACACAGGCATTAGCGTGCAATCTATAGGAAGTTAAGGTCAGACATCAATACTAACCTACAAAAATGGACTAGATACACGTAGGCACAAAAGAATTTTTTGGAAGTGTTCTAATAGATTTGGAAATTGAATGATATTTCCCAACTAAATACAATCTGTGACCCCACACTGAATCCTGTACAGAAGGAAAAGATCCTTTAAGATATTATTATTGGGTCCACTTTTCTGGTCCTGTTCCCTCTCAGCCTATATTATGTTGACCACAGAAGTCTCTCTGACTTCTTAACTTGTCTTTTCACTTCGCACATTACGGCTGAGAGCTGAGAGCTGGAAGAACAGAGACTCCTCCCCTTCTTCTCCCTCTTCCGGCCTGTCCCTGACCGTTCTCTGAACTCCACAACATAAACAGATGGACAGCGCGGGAGCAGGGGAGACCCAAGCAGGAAGAGAGAGGATCCCCGCTGGTGAGAGGGAGACCAAGAGCAGGAGCATTTGGGATGCAGGTATTCACACACACCTTCTCCTCCACACACTGACTTGAATCAACAGAATAACAGCCGGTTGGCTCGTGAATAGCATTTTTCAAAGGCTGAAGAGATCACAATGGCTGTATTGACTTAGGATTTACTCCGCGCTAAGCACTGTTCTAACTTTTTTCTTTTGAAGACAAGGTTTCATTCTGTTGCCCAAGCTGAAATGCAGTGGCATAACTGTGGCTCGCCGCAGCCTCGACCTCTTGGGCTCAGGCGATCCTTCCACCTCAGCCTCCCAAGTAGCTGGGACTACAGGCACACGCCACCATGCTTGGCTAATTTTTTCTATCTGTTTTAGACATGAGGTCTCACTATTTTGCCCAGGCTGGTCTCAAACTCACGGGCTCAAGTGATTCTCCTGCCTCGACCTCCCAAAGTGCTGAGATTACAAGCATGAGCCACCGTGCCCAGCCTATTTTAACCTTTTAACATGCATAATTTCATTAACTATGCCAACAACCTTGAGAGGCTGGTATCACTATTCTTCCCATTTTGCAGAGGAGGAAACTAAGTCACAGAGAGTATAAGTCACTTGTCTAAAGTCACTGGTACTAGTGAGCTCTAGATTCAAACCCGGGGCTCTGACTGCGATATTTTAATCACAATGTAATAAAATACTCCCAAAACATCTGTGATCAGCTTGGTCCAATGTGTGCTCTTAGACCTCCTTTGCTCTTCAGCTGCGTGTCTGAAAGCCTTTTTGGTGATTTCCATCCCAGGGCATTTGCTTCCCCTGTCGAGTGGTGGGCGGCATTTTTACTGGTTGCCCCTTTCTTGACTTGACACCTGCAGACACATTAGTAACCATATCTGCATATGAAACTTGTTTTAAACCTGTGTTCACCCACCACTCTCGATGCTTCCCTTTGGGGCGTCGGGCTCCTGGCACTGAAACATCAGAGAAATAAGACCTCCCTGATGCTTGTACTGGAGAGAAATGAAGTCCTAAAGCCCCTCGTTCTTTTGAATTCAACCGGACAGAGAACTCGAACCACCGTTACAGCTCTGACCTTACCTGCGCGCCCCCTCTCTGAGCTCACTCACGTGTCTCTAAGGGATGACGTGAACGGGCTTACTCTGCGTGCGGGCGTGTTCTGCGGCCTTGGATGCTGTCAACATGGCAGAAGGATGCAAGGAAAGACGGAAAGATGCGACTCCGGGAGCCTGAAAGGAAAACAGGCCCACTTGGAAAGCTGCGCGCCCTTTGCGGTGTGAACACATGCTGGTTACAGCCCTCGGCCTGCTTACTCGACCCACAGTCCGGAGACAGCAGAGCGGCCCGTGGATGAGTCCCGACAGGTGCGAACGCCCACTTCTGTCCACGGCCTCAGGCTGTGCTTGGGTTTTGTCACCCGCTGGGGAGGGCCTCCACACCCCATGCTCCTCGCGTGAGTCCCTCAGCCTGCAGGAGCCATTTCCTCCAGCTCCAATATCACCTCTCCTGAGAAACGTGTCCTGACCGCACCCAACTCTCCCTTGCTGGCACTGCCTCCCCTCCCCACCCCACCCCACCATGCAGAAGTACTGGCTGATTCATCCGGGCGCCCAAGGCATGCCGTCACACAGAGCAATGCCAGTGTGCTATCGTTTGTCATAGCCAGGCCGTCCCCACACTGTACTGGAAATGTCACCCAGGCTAGGACCGTCCCTTTGTTCCTTCCCTCAACAAGTCTTCATGCCGGGCTCGGTGGCTCAGCCTGTGATCCCGCGCCTTTGGGAGGCTGAGGTGAGTGAATTGCCTGAGCCCGCGGGTTGGGCAACTTGGCAAGACCTCCTCTCTACAATAAATCAAAAAATCAGCCGGGTGTGGCAGTGCGCGCCTGTAATTCCGGCTACTCAGAAGGCTGAGGCGGAAGGATCGCTGGAGCCCAGCAGGTCGAGGCTGCGGTGGCTGGGAGCGGCCACTGCACTCCGGTCTGGGCAACAGAGTGAGACTCCGGCTCAAAATAAATAAATAAATAAATAAATAAACAAATAAATAAAATCAGCCAGGCTGGGTGGCTCAGTCTGTAATCCTGCGCTTTGGGAAGCTGAGGTGAGTGAATTGCCTGAGCCCGCGGGTTTGAGACCCGCCTGGGCAACTTGGTGAGACCTCATCTCTACAATAAAAATCAAAAAATTAGCCGGGTGTGGTAGCACACGCCTGTAGTTCCAGCTACTTGCAAGGCTGAGGCGGAAGGATCGCCGGAGCCCAGCAGGTCAAGGCTGCAGGGGCCAGGAGCGTGCCGCTGCCCTCCAGCCTGGGCGACAGAGTGAGACTCCAACTCAAAAAAATAAAAAAACAAGTCTTCAGTGAACACCTGCCCTGGTCTAGGCTCTGTTTTAGGAGCTGTGGTTGGTAAAGCAGACACATTGCTGGCCCTTCTGGGGCTCAGGGAGTGGCGACGAACAGCAAAGGAACAAGCTCATCGGACAGCCAGGCTGATCACACACCGGGAGACGTTTGGCAAAGGAGCTCAGCAGTGGCGTGCTGGGAGGGCTGAGCACCCGGACTTCACACACAGAAAGGACGGGAAAGGCTTGAGAAGGAGGCGAGGCTCCACCCGGGAAGGGCCGGTGAGAAGCGCGCCAGGCAAGGGCAACCACAAGGCTTCTTGGGACAGACACGGCTGCTTCCCAAACACAGAAAGGAGGCCGGGGTGACCGGAGCAAGGTGAAACGGGGAGACTGCCCATGAGGCCGAAGAGGGAGGCCGGTACGGCTCAGGGGGGTCCTGGCAGGCCACAGTGTGGAGCTGTCCACCGAAACGGAGCCCAGGGCGCAAGGGGAGGCCATTGGGATGTTTCCAAGCAGTTGCATCTGCTTGCCTTCAGTTTTTCGTCTGTCTGTCTTTGAGTCAGAGTCTCACCCTGTCACCCAGGCTGGAGTGCAGTGGCACCATCATGGCTCACTACAGCCTCCACCTCCTGGTCTCAGGTGATCTTTCCAGGTGTGTGCCACCATGCCCAGCTAACTTTTCATCTTTATTTTTTACTTTTTTGTAGAGACAAGGTCTCACTATGTCACCCAAGCTGGTGTCGAACTCCTGGGTTCATGTGATCCTCCTGCCTCGGCCTCCCAAAGTACTGGGATTACAGCCACACCCAGCTGATTTCAGTTTTAAAGAAGACAGCTTTTGACTGGACAAATTTTTGTACAATGTCCAAACATTTTGCTAATTTTTATGCTGAGTTTTCTGCTTTTTCTTATTTTTAAGAATTCTTTATATATTTTGGATAGAAGTACTTTGGGAGATGCTTGCATTTTAAATATCTTCCTCTGCATTGTGGGATACCTTTTTTATTACTTTAATGACCTTTTTTTCAGGGATCTTAATCTTAATATAGGGCAATTTATTGATTTTTGCTTTTATGGTTGGTGTGTTTTATGCCCTGTTTAAGAAATATTTACACAACAGTCATAAACATTCTCGTGTTTCCCTATAATAGCTTTATTGTTTTATTTTTCACATGTAGAGCCATCGTTCACCTGGAATTGATTTTTGTTGATGGTGTGAGGCAGAGGTCCAGATGCCCTTTTCCCACAGGCAACCCAACTGAACCAGTCCCATTCATTGAAATGCTCATCCTTTCCTAGTACACCTCAATGTCACCTTTGTCACAAATGAGGGGACTGCCAGGCACAGTGGCTCATGCCTGTAATCCCAGCACTTTGGGAGGTGGAGGTGAGAAGACTGCCTGAGCCCAAGGGTCTGAGACCAGGCTGGAGATTTGACGAGATGCATCTCTACAATAAATCAAAAAATTTGCCGGGCATGGTGGCAGGTGCCTATAGGTCCAGCCACTTGGAAGGCTGAGGCAGAAGGATTGCCTGAGCTCAGCAGGTCGAGGCTGTGTTGGCTGTGAGCATGCCACTGCACTCCAGCCTGGGTGAGAGTGAGACACTGACTCAAAAAAATCACACAGTGAAATGCCATAATACAATTAACAGAGTGACAAAACGTTAAAAGCCTGAAACTACCAACATGGATAACCTGCATTGCTGATAGAAGTGTGACTGGCACGATCAAACTGGAAAATAATTTGGTTTTAGGTAGAGTACAGAAGGTGCTCACAGCCCACGGCTTGGCAATTTTACTTTCAGGCGTGCAACATACAGAAACTCTTTGGCTGTGCAATAAGAGAGACATAAAATAAATAACCCAAATGTCTAAAACAGAAAAACATGTAACTACATTGTGACACTAGACAGAAGACTACTCCCTCAGTGGGAGTAAACTGCTGCCATGGCCACCAGCCCCAACACGGATACATTTCTGAAACATCATGTTGAGTGAGCTAAGAAAGCCACAGAGCGACACATTTACTCATTTCTATGTATATAAAACTCAAAAACTGTGTAAAATTAAATGAGTAAACACGTGCTCCAGACAGTGTGACCCAGGGCAAAAGGAAGCGTCTGGAACAGGAGAGGGCCCCCAGAAGGCTTCGCAGCCATTGCTGCAGCTCCACTGCATACACTTGGATTTGTTTGCTTGCTGGGCCTTTGTACTTTGCGTATTGTAAGTGTTCATTTGGATGTGATTCACACTGGAGGTGTGTCTTTTGAGCCGGGCACTGGGGCTGGTGCCTGCAGTCCCAGCACTTTGAGAGGCCAAGGTAGGAGGACTGTTTGAGTCCAGGAGTTCAAGATTAGCCCGGGCAACATGACGAGACCTCATTTCTACAAGAAATTAAAAAAGCTGGCTGGGTCTGATGGCACACACCTGCTGTCCCAGCTACTCAGGAGGCTGAGGCAGGAGGATCGCCTGAGCCCAGGAGGTCGAGGCTGCAGGGAACAGCGATTGTACCTATGCGTTCCAGCCTGGGCGATAGAGTGAGACCCCCGACTCAAGAAAAGAATAAAAAAGAAAGAAAGTGAAACAGAAAGGCTCTGCTGGTGTCCCCATCATGCACTTGGTATGTGTGGCCTCGTGGAATTCTTCCGGGCGACCTAGCACATGTAAGTGAATCATGCCTATTTAGGCTTGCCTACTGACATGTAAGGAAATTGAGAATCGGAGACGTCAGACAATGCCTCCGAGGACACACAGCTAGCAAACGACAACACTGGGGCTGCACACCAGCGTGTTTGCTTCTGAAAAGCAAGCTCTGGACTTTGGAAGTCAGCCAGGATGGGCTCGAATGACGGCCTGGCTTCAGGAAGTACGAAGGCGAGAGAGCGCGGCTCTGGCTCTCTGCCCGCCTGCCTGTCTCCTTCCCCTCCCTGGAGCGCTCACGTTTACTCTCTGCTGCCTTCTCCGGTTCCCTCTTTCTCCATCAAATGGAGCAGAGGAATATGTTTTTCACTTGTCTGACGCATCGAAGGACGATGTATGCTTCCTGCTCCTCGCTTTACCCTTGAGTAGGACGCTTTATAGTTGTCTGAGGCTGCTTGTGCATAACCCTCGCTTGTGTAAGGCCCACGGTTGAATGCTTTCTGGGATCCAGAGTCCTCATCAGAAAAAAGCTCGCTGTCTGCCAAATCCTCTCCCTCTCGGGTGCAGGACTGAGGCGGAGAGTTGGCAAATGGGGGACAGTACGTGCCCAGGATGCCTCTCTGTCAGCAGGTGGCAGCAGATAGCACAGAGGAAGGCCATCGAGCCCATGCCCGGTGCCATGTTTTATCATGTGGCCGATCCAGTTGCCAGAAATCCTACATAATCTGGTTAGCATTCAGCAGGGTTTTGAGCTTCTGCTCGGGAAGGATTTTAGCTGGTGCTTGGGAGACGTTTTAGTGGAAGGAATCAAGGTCCATTCAGATCTGCACAGCAATGAAAGAAGACTCTTTGGCAACGTCTACTTGGTTTTTTTAAACAATCCATTTCCTCGTAGTTAAAAACCACTTTTTGAAATTATGTTAAATCCCTAAGTTCTGCTGTCAAATACTCTGACGATTCAGTCTTTGAAGTGCTACATTTCCACTGAAGTCCTCCTAATTCCTTATTAAGGGGCTGACAGCTCCCTGAGTGAGGCCTGAGCTGGAATTCCTGGGGCGGGAGGAGCTTGTGAGGCTCACAGGGCTGGAATCTCAGAGTCTTGTGCGAGAGCTCAAAGTTTATCCTTTGAGACCACTGGTTGTCCAACACGGGCAAAGTTTTCATTGTGTTAAGAATACACGTACATGCCTGACTCGCTGTTTAATTTTTAAATATTTAGAGCCGTGGTGGTGGTTTTCCCTCTTAGAGGACAACTGGCAAAATCTGGAGACCTTTTTTTTTTTTGAGCCCAGGCTGGAGTGCAGGGGCACACTCAGGGCCACCATGGCCTCAACCTGCTGGGCTCAGGCGGTCCTTCCGCCTCAGCCTTCCAAGTAGCTGGAACTACAGGCACGCGCCACCACGCCTGGCTAGTTTTTTGATTTGTTGTCAAGATGAGGTCTTGCCAAATTGCCCGGGCAGATCTTGAACCCTGGGGCTCAAGCAATCCTCTCCCTTCCATCCCCCAAAGTGCTGGGAGAACAGGTGTGAGCCACCGTGCCTGGTGTAAACCTTAATTAAAGCTATTATTTTAGGCTGCCCTATACCAAACACTGAAGGTACTGAGTGCCGTTTACTGTGGTTCATTTCACAGTCTCATCTTCTTGCCCCTGCTTTTACAAATGAAATTGAGGTTTACGGAGGTGAAGACATTTTTCCCAGAATGGCTCTGCTTGTCGCTGGTGAAGCCGGGATTCAAACCTGGGCAGCCAGGCTTTAGCACCTGGCGCCTAACGTTCCACGAGGTGCCTTTCCCACAGAAACGCGTCAGAGCCCAGGCCTCTAAGGAGACTCTGCTTCCATGATGGTGTTATCTGTTTCTGTTCAGAGCTGGTCATGGACACATATCGTGAGGATGGGGCCGTGTGTCCCTCATGCACAGGGAAGGTACCGGACTCACGAGTGAGCCGGTGGAGAGTAGAGAGGTTGGAGGGCTCGCTTCTAAACCACATGCCATCTCGTTTTAGCCCTTCCAGTGAGGCGCACCCCTGCCCCCCCAGCTGTTCAGACACTCATGTCTGCAGCCTTCTGGAAGGAGAGCCCAGCCAAGACTGGAAGGGCCATGGTGCTGTCCCCTCCAGGTTTCCACATCTGTCCTCTGGCCATGTGAGCTGAGGCCAACAGCCCAACTGAAAGCCTGTGCTAGACCCCCCAGGCACCAGAGACCAGAGGAAGAAACAGAGTCCAAACCAGGAGGGTCTGCACTCAGGCCTTTGGCGTGTGTGTTCAGGGGTGGCGGAGGAAAGAAGGGGGTGGCTCGGAAGGAGAAAGCTGCGGCGAAAGACGGCAGGAACGAAGCCGTCTGTGTGCTCGGCTCTCCGAGGAACCAGAGAGCTAGGCTTTCTCCAAAAGCCAAGAGCAACTTGGTCTCTGAGGAGCATCAGGCCTGAGCTGGCCTCTGTGTCAAACCAGGGGGCCCCAGCGTCGGACATAACATCAGCAAGCATAGCAGGCCTGCCTGACTGGCTCCTTCCCGCTGTACCCTGCGCCTCCAATCACACTGAATGAACAAGCAAAGGAACGAACAATGTGAGCTGAAACTAGAGTGATGCGCCAGGCATGGGGGCACACGCCTGTCATCCCAGCACTTTGGGAGGCAGAGACGAGAGGACTGCTTGAGCCCAGAGGTTCAAGACCAGCCTGAGCAACTTGGTGAGACCTCGTCTCTACAATAAATTTTTAAAAATTAGCCGGGCCTGGTCGCTCACATCTGTCATCCCAGCAGCACTTTGGGAGGCTGAGGCCAGAGGATTGCCTGAGCCCATGGGTTCAAGACCAGTCTAGGCAACATGGCTGGTCTCTACAATAAACCAAAAACTAGTCGAGCATGGTGGCACCTGCCTGAGGTCCCAGCTACTCGGAAGGCCAAGACGGAAGGACTGTCTGCGTCCAGCAGGTGGAGGCTGTGGTGGCCATGAGCAGCGTGCCACTGCACCCCAGCCTGGGCGACAGAGTGAGACTCTGACTCAAAAAAAAAAAAGAGAGAGAAAGAAAAAGAAAAAAGAAACCAGAATGATGCAGGAGAAAGTTCTGATTTCCACAGTGACCGGGGATAAGTCTCAGGACGGCAGCAGGCTGTATACACGTTAAGGGGATGGGAAGGCTGGCCTCAGAGTGACAGCACGTGGTAAGAAGCCCTTGGCCCCGAAGACGGACCTGTGACCTGTGGACTCGACTTGACGTGGCCCCACTGCTTGCACCGTGGCCTGTGGTCAAAGGACAGGGAGGCAGGTGTTCCTGCAGCCGCAGCCCCGCCCCCACCTTGGCCTCCCGGCCTCGTCTCTGGATGCAGAAAGCCGCGCTGGACCTCCTCCCTCCCACTGAAGCCCCCGCCGTCTCCCTTCCCTGCTCCCTCTTCTGGAGATGCCAGGGAAAGGGGTCCAGTGTTCACCTCTCACTAGCAGTCCACAGCTAAATGTTTATGGAACGTGCACCACGTTCAAAAATGGCCAAAACTGAACTGGTCCTAAGGGACCTGTCTAGGACTCCACAGTCACAGGATCAGACCCAGACTCTGGTCTTGGGACTCCCACATCACTGTTGCTTCCACTGTTAATGGTGCAGGGTCGTCTCATGAGAGGAGCCAAGCGCGTCGGCTCGTGCCAGTGGCCCTAGTAGAGACTAGAGGATCGCCTGAGGCCAGGAGTTCGAGGCCGGCCTGGGCAAGATCGTGAGACGCTGTCTCTGAACACAATGGTCGTCTCGTGGGAAAGGAAGATGCAGGGGCAGCAGACTAGGTTGTGTGTCATGAGCCGGAGCCTCGCGGGCCTTGTCCAACAGCACACAAGAGTGTGGGCCTACCAGGGCCATGTTACAAAACATGCAAATGAGAAACTGTGTGAATTAGGAAAGAGAAGAACCCAGACTCCAGGCCTGGCACTCTGGGCGCTGCTCGTGCTCAGCCTGATGGCGGCGTATGTGTCCGCACTTCTGGTCCTCCACACACAAAATACATTTGGCAAACATGTTGCCCAAGCAACATGTGGCTGTGTCTTGTTTTGTACATTCTGATATAAAACGGTCATTTCATAACTGACGCCTGAAAATGCATGATAATTTGTACACCAAACAAATTCTCTCCAAACCCTCTTATAAAATCTTGGTCACTGGGCCGGGCATAGTGGCTCAGGCCTGTAATCCCAGCACTTTGGGAGGCCGAGGCAAGAGGATTGCCTGAGCCTACGGGTTTAAGACCAGCCTGGGCAACATGGTGAGACCTCATCTCTACAATAAATCAAAAAATTAGCCGGATGCGGTAGCGCACACCTGTAGTTTCAGCTCCTTGGAAGGCTGAGGTGGAAGGATTACCTAAGCCCAGCAGGTTGACGGTGGGGTGGCCGTGAGCATGCCACTGCACTCCAGTCAGGGCAACAGAGTGAGACTCCAACTCAAAAAACAAACAAACAAAATCCTGGCCACCCTTACCTTGGTAGTACCAGAACTGGCAGAAGAGTCAGCCCCATAAATGCTAAAGACTTCCTCAATTGGGATGCTGTTCTGTAAAATAACAACAACAAAGTGTTATCATATGGTGGTCATGGTAAAATTACAAACAAAGCTATTATACCTCCAGAACCATGCTTGGGTGGCATGGGCACTAGATACAGTAAACAGGCCAGGCACAGTGGCTCACACCATCAATCCTAGCACTTTGAGAGGCCAAGGCAGGAGGATTGCTTGAGCCCAGGAGTTGGAGAGCAGCCAGGCCAACATAGTGAGACCTCGTCTCTACAAAAAAATCCAAACATTAGCTAAGTTTGGTGGCAACGCACCTGTAGCTACTTGGGAAGCTGAGGCAGAAGGATCATCTGAGCCCAGGAGGTTGAGACTGCAGTGAGCTGTGATTGTGCCACTGTATTCTGGGCACCAGAGTGAGACTCTGACTCAAACAAAACAAAACAAAACAAAAAAACAGTAAATAACTTCTGGATAAATGAATAAATCAATTTTCCAGTTACCAATTAGTTATGTCTCTCATTACTTTTTTTTGCTTCTTAAATAAATGTTTATACAGCACAGTATAAACATTTTCCTAAGCGGGGATATGCATACATAAGGTCAAAGTATTTTTACTATGTCAAAAAATAAGACATGCATTATCAGTAACTCCTAAACATTTAGAAACATAGGTTGAAAAATAAAGTAAGCCAGGTTTAGTGGCTCACTCCTGTCATCCCAGCACTTTGGGAGGCCAAGGCGAGAGGATTGCCTGAGCCCAGGGGTTTGAGACCAGCCTGGGCAACTTGGTGAGACCTCGTCTCTAAAATAAATCAAAAAATTAGCTGGGCGTGGTGGCACGTGCCTGTAGTTCCAGCTACTTGGGGGCTGAGGCAGAAGGACTGCCTGAGCCCAGCAGGTCGAGGCTATGGTGACCATGAGCATACCACTGCACTCCAGCCTGGGCAACAGACCGAGACGCAGACTCAAAAAAACAAAGAGGCCAGGCTTGGTGGTTCAGCCTGTAAACCCAGCACTTTGGGAGGCCGAGGTGAGTAGATTGCCTGAACCCACAGGTTCAAGAACAGTCCGGGCAACTGGGTGAGACTTCATCTCTACAATAAATCAAAAATTAGTCAGGTGTAGTAGTGCGTGCCTGTGGTCTAGCTACTTGGAAAGCCGAGGTGGAAGGATTGCTGAAGTCCAGCAGGTTGACGCTGGGGTGGCCGTGAATGGGCCACTGCACTCCAGCCTAGGCAACTGAAAGAAAGAGAGAGAGAGCGAGAGAGAGAGAGAATGTGAGCATGCGTTAATATCAAAATTTATCGTAGATATGAAATATCCATACATGCAAATGGGATTATTTCTCTCACCATTAAGATTCCAGCATAAGTTGATAAAATCATGGCTTCTCGTTCTCGGCGGTTTGGATACATAGGTCTGCCATGGAACTGCATTTTCCTAAGGAGGGATATGAATACGTAAGAGCCGAGGGCTTCCTCTTGCTCTCAGTGACACCCACTAAGGTTTTCGTGATAGTCCGTGCGTGATCTGCAATGACTGCTAGCTGTCCACTGGCTTATAAAACGGGTGTGACTGGCCTTCCATTGGTGAAATCCACACTTTGAACTTTTAATCTTCCAGTGACGGTGATGAATTTGCCCTCAGCTACCCATCCACGCGTCCGCGGCTGTGCACGCCGGCAGACTGGCCACCGTGGTGATGCTTTTGGTTTTGCCAGCCACTTTCCTTTCCCCGTCCTGTGGCAATTTGCGCAGGGGAGCTGCCTAGACCCACCGTACGTCTCCATGCTTCTAGGGGAGCCAACGGCACCCCAGATCACAAGGATGGGAAATACGCTGTGGACGAAGCCGTCGGCGAATTTCAGGCCCCCACCACGCCCGGACAAGTCAGGGCAAGCAGAACCATTGAGACACAATTCTGTGATCGTCTTAAAAATCCATCCATCAACCGGGAGTGATGGCTCAAGCCAGAAATCCCAGCACTTTGGGAGGCTGAGGTGAGCGGATTGCCTGAGCCCATGGGTTCAAGACCAGCCTGGGCAACCTGGCGAGACCTCGTCACTACAATCAATTTTTAAAAATTAGCTGAGTGTGGTAGCATGTGCCTGTAGTTCCAGGTACTTGGAAGGCTGAGGCAGAAGGATCACCGGAGCCCAGCAGGTGGAGGCTGCGGTGGCCGGAAGCGTGCCACTGCACTCCAGTCAGGGCGACAGAGTGAGACTCCAACTCAAAAAAAAAAATTCATCCGTCTTCTCCCGGACTAAATGTTATAAGAAAGTAGACCAAAACTAAGCATGGTGTCCACCCAGACGAAATAGACGTAGAAACTGATGACATGCTTTGAGTTTTGAACTAAACCATGCCTAACACAGACCTACCCACAGACTCTTCAAAAACAGAGGCAATAAAGTCCACCCTGCCCTTTTTTTGCTCGGGGACGTTCACATGGGATCCTCTGCTTACGACTAGTAAACCCTGACTGCTCCATCTATCCAGGATCAGGGTGAAGTCCGAGACCTTTGAGCAGAAAAAATAACTGGACTCTGGAGTAAGCTATTTGATCATGGCCACGCTCGTTCCATGTTCTTACCAATTGAGTGGGTTTGCCTGGACGCTACTCATGGGAGAAAATGCCAACAATCCTGGGGAGAAGATTTTCCTGTAATTCAGACAGCTCAGTTCAGGTACCTATCCGCTTAAATGCTAAAGAAATTGTGTTTATAGTCCTTAGAAAAAGATCGTAGCCTTTACCCACATAATTCACTGTTTTAAGAAACATGGCATGGGCCATGCCTGTAATTCCAACATTTTAGGAGGTGGAGATGAGAAGATTGCCCCAGTCCAGGGGTTCGAGATCAGCCTGGGCAACACGGCAAGACCTCGTCTCTACAATTAAAAAAAAAAAAATTAGCCGGGTGTGGTGGCGTATGCCTGTAGTTCCAGCTACTTGGAAGGCTGAGGTGGGAGGATGGCCTGAGCCCAGCAGGTTGAGGCCGCCGTGGCTGTGAGCGTGCCACCGCACTCCAGCCTGGACAACAGAGGGAGACTCTGACCCAAAAAAATAAAAGAAAAGAATAAAAATCATGGCATGTACACGACAAAGCACAGTCATGTTTCTAAGGGAGAACATTCTGCACAAGAAAGTGATGGAAGACCCTCGAGAGGACTGGGCGGGATTCCGCCATTCATCACCGTCACGCATTAAAGAGAAAAACACAGACCTATTTCCACTTACACTCGCTCCCACTCCAGCCAAGTCAAGTCCTCTGAGTGGCGCAGCCATTGCAAAGCGACACTGATGGCCAAGTCGTAGTGTGCCTGCAAGCAGGAGGGGAAAGGCTGAGACGGTGGCCATGTTTAAAATGAGACCGATCGTTAGCTATGCCTAAGAACCCAGTGCTCAGCCAGAAATGTCGGCATCTTCCGGCACTAGAGCAATAATTTAATTTGTGTGGTCTGGGGGAAAAAACAGGTGAGGTCAGTGAGAAGAATACTAGACCAGGAATCAGGGAATTTGCGCTCAAATATGGGTTTGCCAACGATCATGATCCTTCGGTGAGTGTAGGTGAGTGATTGATGCTCTCTGGGCTTCAGTTTTCTCACATTTTAAAACAGAAAAAGATGAATGCTGGGCTCGGTGGCTCGGCCTGTAATCCTGCGCTTTGGGAGGCTGAGGTGAGTGAATTGCCTGGGCCCGCGGGTTCGAGACCCGCCTGGGCAACTCATCTCTACAACAAATCAAAAATTAGCCGGGTGTGGTAGCGCGCGCCTGTAATTCCGGCTGCTCGGAAGGCGGAGGCGGAAGGATCGCCGGAGCCCGGCAGGTCAAGGCTGCGGTGGCCGGGAGCCGCCCCTGCACTCCAGTCTGGGCGACAGAGTGAGACTCCGACTCAAAAAAAAAAAAAAAGATGGGAGTGGGAAAAGAGGGCTGCAGAGAACCATTTCCGATGCTGTGAGTCGAACGTCAAAACTGCACGGCCAGGGGCCAAGGGGAAGACGGGAGGGAACTTAGAGGGAGGGGCTGTGATGCTCTCGTGGGGAGGCAGGGAGGATCACAGGGCTTAGGGAGGAAGCATCACTGGGCCTTGGACTTGAAGGAGGAGAACTTCTACAGTAGGAGGAGGACATCCCAGATGGGGGGACCAGCACAAACAAAGGACGAGGGAGATCTGATTAAGCAACTCGCCGAGAGTCTCACAGGGAGTAAAAAGCTGAGGACCAATGTGAGTGGTCATTGTTTTCTGGCAGTTCCTAAGAGTTCTTGTGTAATGAGCACATTCACCATTTTTCGATCGAAATATTCCCTCTCTCCACCCTCTGCCTAGAGAAGGGAAGGTTGGCTTTGTTCTTATTTACTCTAGAGGGGTTCTGAGGCTTTGACATTTTCTAAACCGTAGAATTATTTCTTCCAGGGGTCGAACCAAACTGAATGGTGAAATAAATCAGTAAATAGGAAGGATTGGCCCCTGACCAACTGCTGAAACCTGAGCCGAAGAGGAAGGCTGGCCCAGCAGCACTGGCCCCACCTGCTTGCTCAGTGGAGACCAAATGCCCAGGCCCTCTTCACCTCCTGAATCAAAACCGCGCTGTCATGAGCCCTCATTAAGGTCTGAGAAGCACAGCTCTGTCCGGGTGATTTTTGTTTGATGCGGGTACAGAGAGGATGAGGCTTAATGACTTCCTTGGCTCCAGAGGAGGCCTGAAAGTCAATGCGCCTTGCTTCACTCTCGTGGGAGAGGGAGTGCAGAGGGGAGGGAGAGAGCCTTTCTTTGCTCCTAGTGCAAGGACAGTGAGTGCGCAGAGCAAAAAAACTGAGGGCTTGCTCATTTTTTCACTTAGATTTGTATGTGATTGCTTCCTTCGTTTCTGTGGGTTTTCAGAACCTGACACAAATCTGGGTTTCAACATGGATAACACAAGGATGGTAGGATTAATTCATTTCTTTGGTTTTCCCTCACAAATACAAATGGTTAAGACATGATGATGTCACTACATGACAGCTAATTTTATTTTTTAAGCATGTTAGCACTGTGTTCTTAACATTTTGCGTTGCAATTATTTTGCTTTTTTAATCTTCTCTCCCAATAGCAAATAACTCTCATGATTTTTGCTTTTTCCATATCTTTCTGCTTTCTGTTTAGTGGGTTGACATAGCCCTACGAGCACTCTCGGGGTGAGGAGAAGATGGGGAAGAGGGTATTTGGGGGTTGGTGGCAGTATCAGCCTTGCTTATTGAATAAATTACACCCTTGTTATGTCATCTTAACACACACAGGACACAAATGTGACTCGCGTCAGCATGGCTTTCTTTACCATATCGTCTAGAAAGGTGAGTTGCCTTCTTCCTTTTGGGTCAAATTCATTTTCCCGAAGTCTGATGCCAATATAATCTCCCCTTGAAAGCAAGAGAGCAGCATTGAGCCATTGGGGCAACATGGGACTTTGTCTGAAGAGAGAGGCTTTCTTCCCAAACCCTTCCTCTGACCAAAATAGAAGTGGCAAATGCTCAGGTAGCAAAGTTAACATACAATCTTATGACATTGCAGGCTGAAAACGTCTATCCATCATTAACGAAAAGCACATTGATCTGAAAACTAGACTCGCACAGTCGGAAGAGGATTTGCAGGAAATCAAGGAATATGCCCAAGACCCACACACAGAAATGGTTTCACAAGACCAAAAGGATGGAGACCCTCTGTTGAATAAAGCATGTCTTGCTGCCCATGTTAAGTCCAGGCAGGACGTTCCAAGTTGCTAAGTTCCAGACACGCAACATTCCGCAGAGCTGGACTCCTTTGTCTTAAGGCACTTTCTCTTTGGAATGCGAATCCCCTTAGGAGGAGCCAGGCATAAAGACAGATTAGTGATTCCACTCAGGCTCCCCTTACTGGATCCTTTCCTCTAGCCTTTTAATAAGAGGAGGTGGGAGGAGCACAGGGGAGGAGAGTGGAGAGGGGCGCTGCCCTGGGAGAGGCAGAGGTTGGAAGTGGACTTGGGGGTCTGAGATGGATTCCGGCACCCCTCACAATGCTACGAGAGGTCAGTTCCGTCCATTGACCACCCTCGAACACGCTGGGCTAGGCCCCGTGTGGAAAATGCGTTTGTTTCTGGCTTCTAAGGCTTTTCCTCTGGGTCATTAAGCTTTTTTAAACCGATTAAAAATCTTGAAGTTTTGCTGTAAGACTTTAAGATACTTTAAAGTAGTCTAAATGTGTTCTTTGGACATGAAACTATTTATACCGGTTTTGAAATTTCAGTTGTGTGGATGAGATCTGTAGAGACGTTGGCACTGCTAACCATAGTTTGCTCTCTTTATTATCATACTGTACATACATGCATGCACACATCATGCCTATTGATACACAGTCTATTCCAGCAGTTCTTTTTATGTTTTGAGTCGGAGGCTCACTCTGTTGTCCCGGTTGGAATGCAGTGGCATGCTCATGGCCGCAGCCTCGGCCTGCTGGGCTCTGGCAATCCTTCCACCTCAGCCTTCCAAGTAGCTGGAACTACAGGCATGCGCTACCACGCCCGGCTAATTTTTTGATTTATTGTAGAGATGAGGTCTCGCCAAGTTGCCCAGGCGGGTCTCGAGTCCGCGGGTTCAGGCAATCCAATCGTCTCAGCCTCCCAAAGCATGGGATTACAGGCTGAGCCCCCGAGCCCAGCAGTAAGTTTTTATTTTTATTTTTATTTTTTTTTATGAATCACTATTACCTTGATTTGGACGTACTGTGACTTAAGTTATAACATATAAGTTATAATGTTGACAACATTTTAAATATGTTTAAAGTATGATTTTTATATATTTGTTATTTTATTTAACAAAACATATTAGTGAAATTTTTACTCATAATTTTATACATGTGAAATTCTGTGCTTAGACATTTCGCAGTTTTTCTTTTGTAATAGACTGTAGTTTGGTGTTATGCATAGCTTATGCATAAGTTAGTTAAACTATTTTGCTTTAGTTTTGTCATTTGTAAAATAAGAGCTCTGTCAAAAGCTAACTGTGGCTGTGCATGGTGGCTCATGCCTGTAATTGCAATACTTTGGGAGGCTGAGGTAGGAGGATCACTTGAGTCCAGGGGTTTGAGACCAGCTTTGGCAACATAGTGAGATCCCATAGCTACAACAAAAATAAAAATAACAAACTAGCCAGGTATGGTGGCATGCACTTGTAGTCCTAGGTTTGGGAGGTTGAGGCAGGAGGATCACTGGGTCCCAGAAGTTTGAGGCTGTAGTTAGTTATGATTATACCATTGTATTCCAGCCTGAGTGACAGAGTAAAACCCCTGTCTCAAAAAAAGCTGAGTCCCCATGGTACTGGTACTAAAGACAGATATATAGATCAATGGAATAAAATGAAGGTCTGGAAATAGACTCTTGCATATAAGGTCAAATTATTTTCAACAAGGATGCAAGATCATTCAATGGGGAAAGGCAAAATAAAAAATAGATAAACTGAGCTACATCAAAATCTAACATGAACATGCAAAAAGATGCTCCGTAATTATTATTATTATTATTATTTTTTGAGTTGGAGTCTCACTCTGTCACCCAGACTGGA